CTTCATATCTGGTGACCAATGCCTTGTATCTGATGGCGCTTTCCCTCCCAGATAGAACGAGAGGCTTCCTCGTCTTGCCACTGTGCATTGCAGCATGTCTTCCCTCAGAGCTGTCCATCTCACGCATCGGAAAAGAAAGTGTTCCACTGATTCCCTCGCTTGTCCACAGGCACAAAGGTCTGACTCGACCGCCCCAATCCTGCTCAAAAAACCGTTCAGTCTCGCCATTCCGGTTCGGAGCTGCGCCAATACGCAGGCCTCCCTTCGCTTCAGCTTGTCATAGAGATGGCGCGTGTGCTTGCCTGGTAGTGCTGCGTCCATGGCCTTTGAGAACTTGCCCACGCTTACAGGTAGAACTCTTGTCGCCCGTTGTCTTTCCATTGCCAGCCTCATCGCGGTGGGTGTGATTGAGCTCGGAAGCGCGTAAGGGAGAAGATGTCACGGCACCAAGCCTGACCTGCTTGGGTCACGTGGGCAGCACGTGCCCACGCGACCTGGACCCACACTAGCAGCAGGATCTCCTCTCCGTTAGCGTCCCCTTGCGAGAGCTTCCTCTCTCCTCATCGCACAACTCAGTCATTAGCCAGAACCTGACCCTGTCCCGCGACTCCCCTGACCTCGCCCCGTGACAGTTTGTGCGATCTAACATTGTGCCCCGTCGCGGCCACTAGCCAACACCAGACCCAGCCAGAACCAGAGCCAGAACCAGCCAGAACCAGCTACATGCCCTGTTAACAAGCCGACTTCCGCGACCCGGCACCAAGACCATCCATGCAAAATCTCCCACAATGAGCGACGAGTCCATCGAGCGTGAGCAGCTTCGCAAAGCGCTCCTACAACACTGGCCCCTCCTAACCACAGCCATTCTTTCCGAGACCTTTCCAACGGACGCTAGCCCCGGCCCATTCATCCAATCCGCCATTGCCCAGGACGGTCCCGACAAGGCCAGGTTCGTGGCAATCTTCGACTGCCTCGAACGAAACGCGAAAGAAACCACCCTCCACCGTGACCAAATCCAGTCCGAACTAACGAAACGCGTCGAAGAATACGAAGCCGACCTCGTTCGCGCCACAAGACGTATCTCAGATTTCGACCAGGTTATTGCCACCCAGACAGAAGAGCTCCTGGAGACCCGTGCCAAGATCACGGGCCTGAACGCAGAAATTACCCGCCTGAACAGCTGCGTCACGCAGCACAATGAACGCATCTCAACCCTCCAAGACGAGAAAACCGAACTCCAAACCCGCCTAGCCCAAGCGACGACGGCAAACGGACCTCCAATTCATTTCGGGACCACCCCGAAGGCCCGACGCACCACAACAAACCCTGACAAATTCACCGCGGGCCAGCAGGACACAGCCAAACGCCAAAGCGCCTATGAGCGGTGGAAGACCCAAGTGGAACAAATTCTAGTCGTCGACGCCGAGTGTTTCCCGAAGGCACTCGACATCCTTACGTTCATCACAAGTTTGCTGGGCGGCAAGGCCTGGGATGCCGTCCAGGACGGCGTCCAGACAATGAACGCCAACCCGAAGAACTCACAATTGTGGACTTGGTAGAACCTAGCTGCGCTGTGGGAAGCGCTAGACAAACGCTACATGCTGCTCGACAGCACCCAATCTGCGAAAAACATGCTGGACACGCTCCACCAGGGAAACAGAGCCTACGGCGACTTCAAGGCCGACTTCGACCACTACGCCGACAAAGCCAGGCTCGACAGCCGCTCGAAAGTCGACATGCTACGCAAACGGTTGAACGGTGCCTTCACCGCTGTCATCGATAACCAGATCACCCTGCCGGCCGCCGACGACTACGCCGGCTGGACCAACGTTACCGATAACATTGCCCGAAACCTGCAGCAGAAAGAACACATCACCAAGCTACGAAATATAGCCAAACCGCACCTTGAAGCACACGCACAAGACCGAGTAGCCCCAGCTGTTGATGCAGGCGACCCCATGGAACTCGACCGCATCCGCATCTCCGACGCTGAACGCAGGCGCCGCACGGACAACGACCTCTGCCTGGCGTGCGGCGAACCAGGACACTTCGCACGAGACCACCACCGACCAGTCGATCCCGTCCCGATGCCCCGACGCCAAGCCAACACCCGCAGCACTTTCCAAAGCACCCACGCCCGCGGCCGCGGCCGCGGTCGCGGTGGATACAACACACAAGCCAGCCGAACCCAACCCCAAGGCCAGACCCAGCAACAGGGGAGTTGGCAATGGATGCCCCAGACGCAGTTCCAGCAGCCCCAGTTCTTGACGCCACAACTTCGTGCCCTCCCCACGGGGCACATCATCGGCGAGACGAGCTCCGAGAACACCAGCGTCACTGGAGATGACATATCAAGCACCTACACTGCACCTGACGCTCAAGGACACCAGTTAAAAGGCCCGCCCCTGGATTAAGTCGCAACCAGGGGCCAATTCCATATGAGGAGGAGGATTGTTTTACTAGGGCCGTACTCCTAGACAGAAGACCACTCGCGCTGCGATCAATAAAGAGCAATGCAGATTCCCTTCTTGTCAAAACTTTTCTCTCCGACCCGCGCACACGCTTCCCTAGCACTTTCTTTGAAACCACAAGCCTGATTGACTCTGGTTCCACCGTACTCGCCTTCGCCGATGACCAAGAAGTCGTGAAAAAGTTCAACTTAGTCACGAAACGCCTCCTGCGCCCGAGGTCCCTTAGGTTAGCCGACGGCACTACGAAATCTACCGTCTCAGAATACTTCACCACTCGAGTCCACATCGGCAACCACACCGAAACCATGCCTGTTTATGTCACCAACTTAGGCAAAACTAACCCGATCATCCTCGGCATCCCGTGGCTGAAACTCCACAACCCGACATGCTTCTGGACAGAGATGCGCCTGGTATTTAACTCACCTCACTGTCGACATCACTGCCTACCATGGGACCTCCCCGCCGGCGGCTGCGAGGCCCCACGCGCAGAACCACCCGAGCGCTTCACGAAACCTATATTGCCATGCCGCAAAGCCACCACTGAGGACCAGCCAAGGAGAACACCTCCCCCGACCCCCACGACCTCCTACAGAAAGACCACTGTCGAGGACGTGCCAGACGAAGAGTTCACTACGAAACGTGCCCACCCCGACGGAGACGAACTCCTTATACAAGTAACGCCAAAGCCAGCTGGGCCTGCAAAACGGAACGTTTCACCCTCACCCGTCGTCCTCAGTGCAGGCAGTAGGCGCCCAACGCAACGCCGACGACCCACACCCATTCTGAAGACAGCAGGACGCCCTAGAAACATGAAGCTCGACACAAACGACATCCGATGCGTCCAGGCAATGAACTTTTTGCAATTTTGTAAGCAAGAAGGCTCCTTCGCCACAACCACAACTCTCGCCGAGCTCCGTCAGCTCGTCGAGGACGAGGAGAACCTTGACATGTTACAAGAGCTTCCACGGGGCTTTGTTGAGATCCCTCAACTCAAAGAAACCTCTTTCAGGCGGATCATGACCGGGGACTACACGTTAGAAGATGCCAAACGGGTGTTCGACCCGTACTTCCACGACTTCCTACAGACAAACCTCGACGAGACAGCCCGCACTGAAACACTACGGCGTAAAATAATGCCGTCCGATATCGACAAGTTCCTAGCGGAGAAGCCCCGGCCAACAGCCGAAGATATCAAGAGCCGCCTACCGGCGGAGTTTCACCACCATGTGGAGCATTTCCTGCCAAAGAACGCAGAGACACTACCACCACACCGGCACTGGGACCACAAGATTGAACTCGTGCCAGGAAAGCAGGCCCCGTACTCTAAAAACCGCCCGTTCTCCCCTGAGGAACTCCGTTGCATCAAGAAATGGATTGATGAGAATTTAGCCAAGGGCTGGATTAGAGCGTCTTCCTCACCTGCAGCGGCGCCACTCCTGCTCGCCGCCAAGCCCGGAGGTGGGATCCGGATTTGCCAGGACTACCGCGGACTCAACGCGGTCACCATCAAGAACAGATACCCGTTGCCACTCATCCGGGAAACCCTCGACTCTCTCTGCAACGCCAAGTTCTACACCAAACTGGACGTTATAGCAGCGTTCAACCGCGTGCGTGTCGCCCAAGGACACGAGTGGATGACGGCCTTCATCACCCGTTTCGGCCTTTACGAGAGCCTGGTCACCCCCTTCGGACTTTGCAATGCGCCTGCCACATTCCAGAATTACATCAACCACCTTCTCCATGACGCACTGGATGTTTACTGCACAGCTTATCTGGATGACGTCCTGGTATATAGTCGGACCCGGAAGGAACACACAACCCATGTCAACGAAGTTATTCGGAGACTGGGTGAGGCCGGCCTCCAGATAGATATCGGCAAGTCGGAATTCTACACCCAGAAGACTAAATACCTCGGCCTGATCATCTCCACAAGCGGCCTCAGCATGGACCCCGAGAAGGTCAAAGCCATCGTAGACTGGCAAGACCCCACGTCTGTCAAAGAACTTCAACAATTTCTCGGTTTTGCAAACTTCTACCGCCGGTTCATCCAGGGATACTCGGGAATCATCGAACCTCTGACCCGGCTCTTGAGAAAGGAAACCGCTTGGTCCTGGACATCCGATCAACGCCAGTCCTTCGAGGAACTCAAGAACGCCTTCACAAAAGCCCCAATTCTCGCCTACTTCGACTACTCCAAACGCACCGTTGTCGAGACCGACGCCTCCAACTGGGCGTCCGGCGGTGTGCTCTCACAGTACGATGATAACGGTAAACTGAGGCCGGTCGCGTTCTTCTCCGCGAAGCATAGCTCCGCCGAATGCAATTACGAGATTTACGACAAGGAACTTCTTGCGATTGTCAAGGCCCTGGAGGAATGGCGCCCGGAGCTCTATGGAACGAGGGAATCTTTCGAAATCTACACAGACCACAAGAACCTACAGACCTTCATGACCACGAAACAACTGAACCAACGCCAAGTCCGTTGGGCAGAATTCCTGTCCCAATTCAACTTCCAGATCACGTACCGGCCTGGATCAAAAGCTACATTACCTGACGCCTTGAGCAGGCTCCCCGGCTCCCAACCCGCTGGAATGGATGATGAACGACTTCAGTATCGAAAAAGGACTGTTTTACCAGCAGAGAAAGTACACCCGACCATACTCGAGCAGCTGCTCGACGACGCCCGAGAAAACAACGACTCCGACCTCGTAGCAACACTGACCGCTGAGCCCGATAACATTGCCTTGATCGACCTGATCCGTGAGGGCTACGACAACGACAGCACTGCTCAGGCGATGGTAACCGCCTTGCAAACACCCGGTGCACGACGATGGCCAAAAGCTCTACGCCGAGCCCTCCGCTGTGATAAATCCGAGTGCAAGATTATCGACGGCTTAATCTACTTCAGAGGCCGCCTCTTCGTCCCGGATCACACAGGCCTGCGGCTCGCAGTCGCCCACCGAACGCACTCTTCTGGCCCAGCCGGCCACCCTGGCCGCGTCAAGACTATCGACTTGCTCAACCGGAGTTACTGGTGGCCCGGCCTTTCCCGCTTCGCGGCAGATTTTGTCAAAGGATGCGCGCTATGTTTCAGGACGAAGACACCCCGGTCCGCACCACCCGGTTTCCTAAAACCGTTGGAAGTCCCCCTCCGAGCGTGGGCGGACATATCTATGGACCACATCGTCGACCTACCCGAGTGCACCAGGAACGGCAAAACCTACAGGCACATCCTTGTAGTAGTGGACAGACTAACCAAGATGCGACACCTTATCCCGGTAACAGGGCTAGACACCGACGAAGTTGTAGACAGCTTCTTGCATCACGTCTTTAAGCTCCACGGCGCACCGGACTCGATCATCTCCGACAGGGGCTCCGCATTTGTCTCCGGGGTATGGCAACGACTCAGTGCACGCCTGAAGACAACACTACACCCGAGCTCAGCCTTCCATCCAGAAACCGACGGCCAAACGGAGATCGTCAACGCAAGCGTGCATAAATTCCTCCGAGCCTTTGTCAGCTTCACCCAAGACGACTGGGTAGACTGGCTACCGCTAGCAGAATTTTCAATGAATAACCAGGTCAACGAGACAACCGGCATCTCTCCGTTCTTCGCCAACTACGGTTTTAACCCCCGACTAGGGGTTGAGCCACCGCAGCCGCGGCCGCCTAACCTCTCCGACCATATGAAGAAGGAGTACCTCCGTGCAGACGCTGTCGCATTGCGTTTCGAGCGAATCCTGACTCAATTGACGGCCTTAACCAGACAATCCCAGCAACGGTACGAGGACAACGCCAACGCCCGTAGGGACGAAGCACCAACATTCCGCCCAGGTGACCAAGTCATGGTCAGCCTTGAACACATGGCAACGAACCGGCCGAAGAAGAAATGGGACGACAAATGGGACGGACCGTTCCCTGTGCTGAAGGTGTATAAGGGCGCCGTCGTCGTGGACCTCCCGGACAACATCAAGGTCGATAAGAGCTTCCATACCTCCAAAGTTCGCTTATACGAGGCCCCCTCCATTCAAGGACAAGACGAGCTCAACGCGGCGGAGCGGCGTAACGTCAAAGGAAGGATTGCTAAACGGGACGACGATGGGATTATCCAAGACGAGTGGCAATTCGAGAAGATCCTAGACGTACACGACGAGGACAAGGAGACATCCGGACTTACCTACCTTGTTAAATGGAAGCACTACGATGAGCCTACATGGCAACCCGAGCAAGACTTGAAAGGCTGCAAGGACGTTCTGAAACTCTTCCATGACAAATACCCAGAGAAGCCCGGGCCGCCTAATTGGGTAAAGGACAAGCGACCCCGCGGAAGGCCTAGGAAGAAGGTACATTTTGATGTTTAATATATTAGGATAGTGGTTTGGGGACCAAACCGTCTTTGAGAGGGGGAGTACTGTCACGGCACCAAGCCTGACCTGCTTGGGTCACGTGGGCAGCACGTGCCCACGCGACCTGGACCCACACTAGCAGCAGGATCTCCTCTCCGTTAGCGTCCCCTTGCGAGAGCTTCCTCTCTCCTCATCGCACAACTCAGTCATTAGCCAGAACCTGACCCTGTCCCGCGACTCCCCTGACCTCGCCCCGTGACAATTGTATTGTTTAGTAGGAAGTGTTCTTATAGGAATAAGTCTGAATCGGAATCGGAGTCTTGGTAGCTAAAATCACTCAAAAGGAACAGAGCCCCCTTGCTATGTTGTAACGGTAGACTTGTAGTTGAAAAAAGTTAATGCTACGATATTTTCTTGGTGTTGAGTTCAGCCCAAGTCAACAAATCTTTCTGGGAAAGGGCGCTCTTTTGTGGGTCGATGAGCTTGAGATGTGGGATCCCGCTGTGGACCCGCCGCCAAACCAATCATTTGTGCGCCAGGGGTTCATTTGGGGCTCTTTTCAAACACGAGCCCTGTTTCGTTTCGAACCGCCGACGTCTCCTGTCCAACCCCATTGGCTTTCCCGTCAAACCCCCAGGACAGAGCGAGCAAACGATGTCGCCAGCTCACCACCTGTTTCGTGCGCCGGCTGGCGACATTGAAACGAGGCGAATGCAGGGCACACACGTGTGATGAGACCCCAGAATGGAATCGTCAGTTTTGACTGGCTTAGAGGAAGTGCAAGGGCATTTCCCCCTGGCCGAGCCCGAGGAGAAGGGACACGAGTGCTCGAGTAGATGTTCGGCAAGTGTCGCAACGACTGGCTCAGAGCTCGTGCCTTGCAGCTCTTAACTTAGCTCTTTCCTCCTCAGAACTCCTGTTGAAGGCCGCTGTGACCCTCTTCGATATATCGAGCCGAGTCGCTCCTTCCCGGGCTCTTTTCTCGTTCGTTGCCTGGGGCACCTCGACCTCCCACTTTTCCCTTCTTTCCGTTTGCAATTTCTCATCGTGTTTTTGAGAAACTCAACCCGCGAAGCTGTGCTTCTTCCATTCTCTGTTTGTACATCGCTGTTTGCGAGCGCAATTGGCCGCTCTCCGTTCGACCACCATCACGTTGCACCCGATTTTTACCACCGATCAACATTCTGCCTGCGGTCGGTTGCCTCGCTCCTTTGCGCGACCGAGGTGATATAGACCAGCTGGCCTGTCATTCCATTCCTTGCCAGCCTTTCCCCTTGGTACTCTGCGACAAACTCGTCACCGGCATGACCGAAACCATCGGCACGCACTGAATCTCGATCATCGGAAGCCATCTGAGCGAGCATCCGAGACCGCGCCTACCTATCTTAGCCGCATTGATCACACTGTCACCCGCGTGGAAGGCTAGCACGGTTACCCGACCGATCGGATCTCCCCCGATCACAGCTCTCTGACACATATCGCGTTTCGGGAAGTCGCACGGCCAGGAAATTGCTCCACTTGCGCAACCAGGGCGCCCTGTCTGCGAGCTTTGCCACGCCGTCCCTGAGCCCATTGTCGTGGACGCCAGGAAGGGGAGATAACTGTTAACCGGCCGGCCGTGTCACTCGGAAAGGCCGTTCAGGGTTAACGGCTAGGGACGCCCAACTTCTCCCGTTGTTCGCCGCTTCTCCTCGCCAACACCAGCCCAGAAAGCGTGACGTCAGTTCGCGATGGAAACTCACGTCAGGCGGTTCTCCTCAAAATGGGTCTGGCTTTGTCTTTTGATAGCCTCGACGGTCTCGGCCATTCCTCTCTCCAAGTTCGAGCCCATCACCGCTACAACGATCTCTCTCGGCTGCATTCTAGCTTATAACGTCGAGATTCCCGGCTGTGCGATCAGCGACTTCGTGGCGGGCAATGCGTGCTCGGCCTCATGTGTGAGGGGTCTGAAAAGGGTAGAGGCGAATCTCGCGTCTGCTTGCGACAGGACAGAGGTATCGGAGATTTCGGTATTGGGACAGGCGCTGTTGGGCAACCTGGTGGAGCTGCTTTGTCCAGGTACATCCTCTCCTGAGAACCCAGTGTCAAGTCCAACGGCTGCACCTACCACCTTCACTACACGGCGTAGCTCAAGTCCTCCGCCGCTCACATTTACTCCAGTTCGGCCTTCGTCGACCACCACCACGGCCGTGACGGAGACAGAAGAACCCGAGACATCGACATCAACCTCCAGGGCCTCTCCCACCACTACGACGCCTCAGACATTCATCCAATCATCACCTCCGACAAGTTCGCCTTCTTCAGATTCAACAAGCACGCCGGAGCCTCCTGCGGAGGACTCTGGGGGTTCGTCAGGCGGCGGCACCCCGTTCGACAACCCGTTCGACAACGCGGGAAGCGGCTCAAGACAAGCTACAGCGTGCTGGGTGCAGGCGATGGCTATTGGATTGGGCGTGGGCTTGCTACTCTTGCGGTAGGCGCTGCACGAGAGAGTGTTTGCGTTGCTGGGGAGGCTAATGTAAACGATTTACGCGACATGGTACTGCACGGCTGGGTTGGGCACGGGACTGGATATTGCATGATGATGCGAAAGTTAGAAGGCCTGGGATCCGGGTGACATTGGAGTGAAGTGGTCAGTCCAAGGTTAGGACCTAGAAGATGGGGGGTTGTAATCACAGTGATACCACATGCATTCGATTTTCGGGGTTTTCTTTGCAGTTAAACAAGAAAGATGGATATTTACAAGTAACGAAACATTGACAATGTAAAAGTGAAGGCCTGCTAAACCTTTCAAAACAACTTCCAACCCCAACTTCCAACCCGTCGAGTTTAGCAGCAGCGCGCCGCTTCCACCATGCGCTCTCCATCCCCCACCACCCATCAAGCCGTAGAAGCCCACAAATCCCGCATCTGAATAACCCCCGGAATACAAGCCAGCACCCCCACCGTCGTATCGCTCACCAACCCCTTATCACTCTCCCAATGCAGCGTTAACGGCGCCCACGCGAGCTGCCGCACCGTCTTCTTGGTCCACTCGCTCTTCTCCTGCTTCGTCTTGGTCTTGAACGCCCTCGCCCCCGTCGGCCCGAACCGCTCCGCCGCCAGCCGCCCGATCTCGATCCCCACGTAGGCTGCCCAGAACCGCGCGCTCCACTTGGAACGCCCGCCCCTGCTCCGCCGGCGTCCACGACATGATCCCCCGCGAGGACAGGTACGCGCCGTTTTCGAGCGACTGGAAGGTGATGCAGAGCGCGAGGCGGATGTATTCGAGGAGGGAGGCCAGTTTGCTGGGGGTGGGGGCGGGGGTGGGGGGTTTGTCGGTGGTGGTGGTGGTGGTGGTGTTTGTGGGGGCGCTGCTGGAGGAGAAGGTGGTGGCGGGAGCAGGCAGGCGCGCCCAAGAAATACATGCCGAGCAGCGACCAGGAGGCGCATGATCATGCGAGCTTCGCTGAGGAGGGAAGGAGAGCGAGGTGAGGCGCTTGGAGAGGAGGAGGGCCGAGCGCGGCGGAAGGTGGGGAGCGCTGTCTTGCCGCCTCCGGGCTGCGGCGGCCCGCGGCGGGCGAGGAGAAGACGACGGGTGTTGCCGCGCGGGAGGGCCGCGACTAGGGCGATCCACTCGCGCGCGGAACGCCGGAGCGCGGATTGCGAGAGCGAGGAGAGCACCGAGCCGCTGAGCTTGGAGGCGTAGCAGAGGAAGAGCATCACCGTGTCGATGCCGGAGGGCGTGGAGAGGCATTTCTCGAGGCGGACGAGGAAGGAGTCGAGGTTGGAGGGTAGCGCGGCCAGCAGCGCGCCGAGGGGGAGGGGCTGGCGCTTTGGGGGTTTGGAAGGGGGTGTGGAGGACGGAATCGGGTCGCCTGAAGGCAGGTCGGCGATGGGGGCCGGGGCGGGCACATCGACTTCGGGGGCTGCGTCGGCCATTGCGGTGGGTGTTGGTGGTGGTTGTTTTGGAATTGATTGACGGAGGAGTGTGGGAGGTGTTCACAACAGATGTCGGTCGGGTTGAGGATGATGAGAGGAGGTAAGGCAGGAAGGAGCCTCGGTGATGGCGCTCGGTTGCTGGCTCTCCGGGATTGGTGGAATCGTGACAACGGGAGCGGGGGGCTAGTTTACGACGTGAACGGCTGAAAAGCTGTCTCGGGCGTTGCTCTACAAAGGAGTAGAAACAATAGGAGCTGTAATCTGTAGCTGACTTGCTGTTCTGCTACCTTCTGCAATTGGAGATCTGGAATTCAACATCCGGGCACAACTTGAATAAAAAGGGGGCTCCAATGCACTAGTGTTCAGTGCATGATTCCCTCGTGGTGATAAACCCCGAAATCCTGTCCCGGGGCCCGCAGTTTGAGATGCCAAGAGCTCGGCTCCGCTTGTGTACCTCGGTCCGCGGGGCGGCAGGGGACGGCAGTCAGGATTGTGGGGCCCCGCGTTGGCTCTTGCGCTGCGACCTGCAGCTTCGGAGCTTCCCTCGAGTTTCCAGAGACAAAATCTAGTTTGGATTCGGGTTGGATCAACGGTTGCGGCGCCATCGAATAATTATTGTACGTACATAATTAATTGTGCTAGATTAGGAAAGTTCTGGAAAGGTAGCGAGATACCACAGGTTTGGAATATTTCCACAATTAGTTATCAGGTTCTTAGAACACATCGTTATCAACAATCTCAATTCTCAAACGACAAATTCCAACTGAACCTTTTCCCAACCTTTTCTTCGACTGAATCTCACTCGCGGGATTCCCTGGCTTCCAATCCGGATGGGCCATGGCGCACCCAGCAAAACCTGCCTTGGCCGGTGGCACTGAGACGCCCTCGACATCGAACACCAGTGCGATGGCACCAACCATGCCAATGATCTCCGTCATAGCAAACCGTCGACCAGGATAGAGTTGTTTACCCCCCGCTGAAGGGGATATATGCCCCGCGCAGTCTTTTCTCTTCCTCGGCCGGCGTGTGAATGAATCTCTCAGGATTGAACACTGTCGCCTCTGGCCCCCAGATGTCCTCGCTCAGATACGGCACCCCATGAAACCATTGCGCGCTGGATCCCTTCTTTAGGAGGTACTCTCGCCCGTCCGCACCCCGCAACATTGTGTCCTCCAGCACTTCCCGATAGCCGCAGAGCTTGTTGTACATCCGTTGCACTTCATGAACCACGGCGTTGATGAAAGGCTTCTTCCCGAGCTCCTCCATATTCACGCTGGCCTTGTCTCCATCCACGGTAGTCGCCTCCGCCGTCTCCTGGCGCACCCGCTCCGTAAAGTCAGGGCGCGCAACCACACTAACAAAAACCCAGGCTAGCGAGGGGATGGTGTTGGTGAGAGCCGTCCAGGGGATGTCGGTCTCGCCCGAGGCCAGATCAGCAGGGCAAACCCCCATCTGCCGCTTGGCCGCCGCACGGTTCCTGATAAAAGCGGACACATCCGGGCCTTGGTCATGCCCCTCCCGATAATACTCGTACAACGCTGCCTGTATGCGGCCCCGGCCGGCAACCGCTTCGCGTGCCAGCAGCCGCGGCGCGAGACCGAGTGTTAAAACGGTGATCTTCCCGATCGAACTCCCTACCAAACCGTCAGCTCACACCCACCCCCCCACTTACACACCCGGAGGAAAACGCACCAGATATCATAAAGCCTCCCCAACGTGATCGGATTCTTACTCCCATACAACGCCCTCACCACGGCCTTCGAGATCCCCTCCCTCAACCACTCCCCCACATGCCCAACCTCACACACCCCCCCATCACCACCACAGCCTACACCACCATCACCACCACCAGCACCACCACCCCCCACCCCCAATTCATTCAACCGCCCCGCAATCTCCCCCAACGCCACCGCCACCACTCCCCGCAACCACTCGCCCGACATGGACGGATTAAACGGCGCGCAGGTAGGCCGGGTCGCGCAGGCGGCGAGCGCGTTGCGCGAGAACAGCACGATGAAGGGGTCGAAGGACAGCGTCGGGCTGCGCAGGGCGGCGGCGATGAGGGTGGTCGAGTTGAGGAGGTAGAGCTTTTGGGTTAGGGTCGGGAGGGTGAGGGCGGGGTGGGGGGTGGCTTTGCTGCGGAGGGGGGTTAGTTTATGGTTGGGTGAGCAGGAACGGGGGGTGTGGAGTATGGGGAATGAATGGTATGTGTACTAGAGGCGGCCGTAGTATTCCCCGCCCTCGGAGACGATGGACAGGCTGTGGCCGATGAGCGGGATCTTGGGCCACAGCATCGGCGGTTCGCGAGGGTCGAGCGTGGGGCAGAGCGCCCATCGCAGCAGGTACAATATCAGAAGCAGCACCACCAGAGCCAGCGCTAGGACCGTCGGTGGAATACCGAGGTGAGTTGAAAGATGCAGCAGAGGCACTGCCATTGTGCCTCGATTTCTTGAAATGCAGCAAGACGCAGCAAAATGCAACGAAACGCAAAAATTAGAGTGCGGTTGCGAGAGGTAGAAGCCCGACGCAGTCTAGGGTATATGCCACAAAATTTCCCCATCTTTGTTTGCTCATGGCGGTTCGACGATCCGGCAGATGAGGGAGGCGTCCGGCTCGTGACTAGTGGCTTGCAGTGAGGTGCCGTCACGGGATGGCAAGCAAGGGAAGCAAGGGGGCGGGACACGGAAAGGATGCCATCCATTGTTTGTTTGCCGCAGACAATACTAACCAAGCCAAGAAAAGTGTTAAGAGCTGAGAAGAAACAGGGTCGTTCCCCTGAAAAAAGGAGACCACCCTCATCTATGAATTACCAGGACTAGTCTAGGGGGTATCAGTGTATACGCTAGGAGAGGAAGTTTGAAAAAGACAAAGAGAATCGGAGAGTCCACCTGCGTCATACGACGGGCCCCTTCCGCACTGAATTTAGCGGGAGCCCTTGCATAATCGCATGACCTTTCCCGTTCTCATCGACCGATGAAAGAACATCTGCGGGGAAGCCAGGCGAGATGAGATAAGGGGTAAGTAATACGGTTATATGTGCCAACCCCCCAAAAGCAAGATCAGTGTCAGCCAATTCCCGCCTTTTACCACCCACTACGCACGCCTCCCCTTCCTCCCACCGCCACCCGCACCCCCACCAGGCAACGGCACCACCACGCCCTGATACCCACCCGCCGCACTATCCCAGACACTCTGGCTCACGCGGGCGGGGATCTTGCGGCCACGCAGGCGCTGGTCGATGAGCCACAGGCCGACGACGAACTCGTCGCGGCCGAGGGCGCCGCGGGCGCCGCGGTCCACCAGGTCCCACACCTCGGCCAGCTCGTCCGCCGGCAGCCGGCTGCGGCTCCAGATGTCGCGCGCCACCACGTTGACCACCAGCTCCGCCTCGGCGCCGTGGCTGGCCCGGCTGGCCTCGACGGCTTGGTCGCGGGTTTGGTGCTGCGTTTCCTCGCCCGTTCCGGGTCCGTGGCCCTGCTGAGTGGGGGAGGCGCCGCCGGTGGTGGCGGTGGTGGTGTTCTGGTACTGCGCGGCCCACCCGGGCCGCAGGAACAGGCCCCTGTTACTCGCCCACACGGCCTCGTAGCGTTTGCGCTCGCGGGCTGTGATCTCGTCGCGCCAGCGGCGCCGCGAGCCTTCGTGGTGTGCATGCTTGCGGTTGCCACCGCTGAGGACCTTGCTGCGTCGGCGGTGGTGGTGCTGGCGGCGGGCGTCTTCGTCGTCGGAGAGCGAGGCGTGCGGGCTTCGCAGGGTTTGGAGCATGCCCGTCCGTTGTTTTTGTTGATGGGCGGCATGGTTCGGGGATTTACTTCCGCCTGTGAGCTGCGAGCCGATGCTGTCGGCGGTGTGGTGGGGTTGCAAAGGGCTCCGGCCAGATCGGCGGGGCGCTGGGAGAGGAGGGGGCTGGGAGGGTGTCGTTGGGGTGAGGCGGGCAGAGGCGAGGTTGCTCGCCATCATGGCGTTGGTGAGGGAGCTGAGTGTGAGGTTGGGCGTTGATGGGTGTGACGCCTGTTGTCGCGGTGGGTTGGGCGTCGAGATTGATCGGGACGAAGGGCTTCGTGCCGGCGGGGCTGGGCGTCGTGGGGTACTCTCTACTTCCCTAACCGGCGATACGGCCCCTGACGGTACAGAAGAAGCTGAAACAAACGAGTCGTTGGACGAAGTTGAACCCTGTGATACTTGTCGCGGCTTTGGATTCCGGTCTTGGTGATGAAATACGTCGACCTGGTCTATGTCTGGCTCGACGGGTGTGACTTGAACGATCGGTTCCGCCATTTTAGCGATAGTCGATGTTTTTACCGGTGGAGTTGGGGGTTCTAGGCGTGGTGTTTTGGCGACCCTCTTCGGCTGCGAGACGACGTGGTTTGAGGGACTTCGGGTGGGAAGGGATGGCGGGGGTGTCGGGGGGCGATGCTGTGCAGGTTTCGGTTTCTTGGCCGGTTTGTGCTCGCTGTGTTGGCTCCTGGCACGGCGTTGGGATGGTTTTGCCTCCGCGCGGCCCCTCTCATCACCATGTCCGCTTCTTCCAGTACCCCCAAGCCGACTGGTCCCCTCTGAAGCGCCATGTGCATCATCGGACGATTTCGGAACAGCGACATCTGTAGCCACCTCTGGTTTCGGTTTCGGCTTGGGTACGGGTTTCGGTTTGACCTTCTGCGGTTCTTGTGATGCTCTCTCTTTCCGCGCCTGTTCCTCCGTATCCATGTCCTTCCTCCTTACCGACGGTGCCCTCTTCTTAACAGGGTCCACATCGTTCGCCTCCCTTTTGCCCTCAAACAACGACACTAGAGAGGTAGTCGGCGGAATAGACGCCGTATCCAGGACCTCTGCTTCGTGCCTCGGCCCCACCGAACCAACTATCACACTCGCAGCACCCACACTCTGTCCCCTCTTCCGCGTGACTTTCCCACCACCGCCGTTTAAATCCAACTGCGGAATCGGGCCCCTGGCAGGCGAAACCGACCTACTAGCCGCCAGCGTAGCCGCAATGAGCGAGGGCGAACTCTTCCTGCCACCACCACCACCACCGCCATCGGCGCCAGACCTCCCAGCCGGAGGTGGAAGCAGCGTGCTGCCACCACCCCCACTACCACTACCCGCATGCAAGTCCAGCACCCTCTGCCCAACCAGCCCACCACCATGCCCATGACCCCCGTCCAACCCAGACCCAGACCCAGTCCCAGCCCCCACCGCCGCCGCAGCCGAGCCGCCCTCATTCACCCCTTTGTTCCCACCGCCAGCAGCAGCATGTCCCCTAGCCGCCTGCGTCGCAGCCAGCAGCGCGCCGTTGGCCCCCCGCGGCGCCAGCCCAGCTCCCATTTTCCCACCTGCCGCCGCCGCCGCTATCCCGGACCCTGCACCACCACCACCACCACCACCACCATTCTGCAAGTGTTGTGGCTGCTGCGATGGGGTGTGTCTCACCGGCGACGGCCCACGCCCATCATTATTCCTCCGCTGCTGCTGCTGCTGCTGCTGTTGCGCAGCCGCCACAGCAGCCTTTTTTCTGCTTGTTGAACGCGAGGGTTGCGCCCTGGAGGGCGGCCGAGACGGCGGGGTTGGTCGTGGGCGGTGGTGCTAGCGTTGTTGAGGGTGGAGGGTGGGATGGCGTTGCGCTGCGGTTGGGGTGGGAATGTGTGGGTCGGGTGGGTGATGATGGGGGTTGCATAGGGGATTCGGGTTCGGAGGGGAAGGGGGGATTGATCGGTTGGGGGGATGAGGTCGGGTGGGTGGTCGTTGGTTGGGTCGAGGGGTGGTTGTTTGTTTTGGTTGTTCGGGGGGTCGGTGGACTTCGATGGACCAGGAAGGTAGGTAGGTAGGTGGATAGGAATGTAGTCGGGAGCTTGTTTGTTTGAGGGCTCGATGCGATGCAATGCAATGCGACGCAATGCACGGCGGGAAGTGGGCGAGTCCGCAAAGTGGTTCCCGGGGCAAGCGAACAAGTTAATTTAGCTTAGCATTTCAGGTAGTTCGGAATCGAAGTCGGGTGAGGGAATGGTCAATGGAGATTGGAGGTTGAAAGTGGAATCAGCTCGACCTTCGCGGTGAATCGAGGTTGACCAAGCATGCAGGGAGTTGCCGGCTGGCTTGTGGTGAATGAGTCCACAATTACAGGGGTCAATCGAACCAAACAACATCCAGGGACTTCCAAGCTGTCTTCAAAATGAGGCTGAATTACAGGGATTGGTAAGGCGGCATTGGCCCGTACGAGCTGAAGAGATCATCCTGGTCCCACGCCAGGGACCAAGTACAAGCTCGCCAGTTCAAAAGCAGGCGTCGAAGGATTGAGTCAGAACTCCTTGGTATATTTCACAAAGCACTATCATGGGCTACTCGATCATTGTTTCAATTCTTCTGCGCAAATATAAAAACAGAGAGATACAAAAGGATATCAAGTGTGGAGTAGTATCTACGGCGTGCGCAGGCGGAGCCCTCGAAAGAGAGGGGCTCGCCCTCGGGCACTCGGCTTGATAAACAAAAGGATAAATCAAACCCGGTATAGTACAACGCCAACCATTGCAAACCTCCTCGACCGCAACCGCAACCCCCAGTCCTAGCCCTAGTCGCCAGCTCCCTCCCGCCGACATGCAAGAAGGAAGCCTCTCCGCCCACAGGTCCCAGTCCAGCCCAGATACATACATGTGTGCGCTAAGAAAACAAGTGAAGCTGACCCCAGAGAAGGCTGTTTTACCGGCCTGCGCCAGCCAGACAAGAAAAGAAGTAAAAAAAAAAAAACCGCGATTAGGAAAAAGGAGCCCGAAAGGGCCGTCGACAACGCTGAAGAAGAAGAGTCGAATGTCATAAAAACACAGGCTGCGAATCAACCAACGCCTCGCCGAGACCCCAGCCATCAACAACAACAAAAAAGTGTGGGCTATATCAACGCATATGGCTGCTAAAAAGCAAGACATGTCGTCGTTGCGCCGTAACTCATACCCATCATTCAGACATGTACTTAACCGACAAGGGGGGCTCTTGTCAGTACCCGTCCTCGTCGGTCCACTCGCTTCCAGATATGATCCGGTTGCCATTGTCGTCCACGGTGGCCTGTCCAGTCTGGGCGGGCGGGAGCCCCCGGTGCCGTTTCAGTTGGCTCTGGGGCCGCGCCATGCCAGCCCGCGCCGCGCGCAGCTTGGCGAAGTAGTCGTCGGAAAGGTCCTCCTCTGGTTCTGAAGTATCGTCATACGTCTCCCAGTTCTCAGAGCCGGTGATAACGGTTGAGGTGTTGGAGCTGCTGCTGCTCGAGTTATGAGAAAGTTGCCTGATAGGAGGTGGCGCTTGGGGGTAAGAAGATTGTGTTGACCGCGAGGAGAAATAATCCCGCGACGCAGGCCTGTTGTTCTCCTGGAGCGAGTACCGGTCGTCGTAGACATCCTCAGGCTCCACGTGCCGGACGATGCTAGAACTCAGGCCGGCAGACCGATAGTGGTTGACAGGTGTCTCCAGTTCCGGCGCCGGCAAAAGTTCGCGCATCTTCGGCGGCGGCGCCCTAATTACCAGATTGTTGTGACGGGGAGCGCCGGCGTCCGCTCTTGACGGAGGACGCTCTGGCGAGTTGCCGCCGTGCTTGAGGTTGGAGAGCGGCATGCGCGCGGGGAGCCGGGTCGGACTACCCCTGCCGGTCCCCGGCACACCTCGGAGGGTTCCCCCTTGTGATGGCTGCGCTGGCTTTGCCGTGCTTACAGTCGTCGGCGTTTTGGTTACGCTTTTTGGCGCCCCCCTGACGCTACCGACGCTGCGAGCGCGGCTCAAACCAGCATTGGTGTTGTTAGAAGGTGTTGGGGCTGGGCCGGGTGTTTTGGACCTTGGCCCTGGAACTGCTCTCGATTCCGGCTCCCCTAGGGAATCAAGATACCGTTCTCCGTGAACCATGAACGGCCGGCCGTACTCGTCCTCCCACTGCTCCAGCGCCTTACGCAGCTCAACGGCGACCTTCGGGAGCTCCTTCGCGATTCGCTTTCTCATCTTCTCCTCCCGGAGCAGTTTTCCAGGGTCCCGCTTTTCTCCCTTCTGGCCACGCATCATCAAGCGCGAGGCGTCCTGGCTCGACGAAGCCAGCTCGTTTTGCTCCTGCACTAGGCTCTTGTGTCTGTTGACAAGAGCGAGCGTTGGAGCGCGTTGTTCTTGCAGCAGCTCCAGCCGGGATATCTCCCGTTCATGAGCTTCAAGAAGGGCATCGCTGTAGACGTCGGAGAAGGCAGGGGTAAACTCGAGCATCTCGTCCTCAGAGAGATACAGCGCGTCCCAGAGCTCCTGCAACTTGAAGCGGGCGTCTTCGACGAATAGATGGAGGTTTTGTCGCTTGAGTTCGTTGAGCTTTACTAGCTCGTCTTCAAACTCGTTGATTTGTCGAATACCGCAGCCACGGTTGCTGTTGAGAAACGCCTTACGTTCCCTTTCCTCGATACCCAACTTCTCCCAAAGGGCTTCAACAGTGCACTTCAGGTCTTTCAGGCGCCTCTCGCGGTTCTTCTTCTCTTCCAGAAGCTTGTCTCTCTTGGAGCGGAGGCGGCTCAGGTCGTCTTCGTGGAGGCCGAGCTGCTCAGGAGCGTCGCGGTAGTACTTGACAATGGCGCCGTCGGTCTGCGCCTGCGGGGTCCCCAGCTCAGCCCATAGCTGGATGATATTCTCGGCCAGTGCTTTTACTGTTGCCACGCGGCGAGTGTACTCCTCATACACTCGCGTAAACTCGGCATCCAGTTTATCCACATATGCCGGCGACAGGTCGAAACTAGGCGGGATGGACTGGTTCGGTGCCGTAGGGGGTAGATCCAATTTGACGAAGGTGGGCTCGAGGTGAAGGGAGTAGGACTCGAGGGCCTGGACCAACTCTGTGAATCGTTAGTATTGGCGGATCGGCTTTCTGGTCTGAGAAGGAGAGGCGCACTTTTAACTTGCTCATAGCGCTCCCGATGGAGACGGCTGACTTGGGTGTGCTTTTCCTTGAGTACCTGGAGGCACCTCGTGAGAGGGTAGGTAACTTTCAAGTTTCCGTCGTCGCCGCTCTGGTAGTCGCGGCGCGACTTGCCGTCGTCGAGCGAGGCCTCCATTTGTCGAATTGTCGTGATCATCCTTTTTGCCTCTTCAACCATCCCCTCTCTCTCCTCCGTCACCTGTCGGATTTGGTTTTGCAGAGCATCGGAAAGGGCGGCGAATAGCTGGCGTCAACTCAGTCAGTAAACAGAATTCAGTCGGAACCGACCGAGCGACGGGTGTCTTACCTCCTCCTCCCGAGCGTCGCGGTCATGGCTGGGGACTCCGATCTCGTCGAACAAGCCATGCAGCTGGCCAACTATTTCATTGACCTGCTGGGCCAAGTAACTAGTATCCATGGTGCGGCACAGATCCGTCGGCGAGAACAAAATCTGGGTTAGGTAGGTTGGGCGCAAGTCCGCTCAGGAACACTCGGGCTCCACTGTTAACCCGAGGGGTTGACCGTGCACTTGTGACTGTGTGTGATGTGATGAGTTGTCACTCCGACAATTGGTTGTGGTGGGGGTGTATCATGGACTGGAATGACGTGCAGCTAGGTTCTGCAGCTAAAAGTTTGTTGTTTTTCAATCCCTTTTCCGCACAGCGAAACTGGGGGGGGTGTCAGCACATTGCCGAAGTCGCAGCAAACAAATCGTCGTCAGAAAAAAAAAGACGAGTCGTATCAAAAAACAACAGGCGACGCTCTGTGTTTGTGGCAGCTCGGCCCGTGACAGCAAAAAACGAGAGGAGGGTGGTAAAATCCCGAAGAAATTGTCAGAGTGCGGGATGCTGATGGTCTTTGTGTTTCGCAGATTGAGCCCGTGGAAGTTGCACCAAATCCTGGTTCGCGCCTGCTTCGCTGTCTCCAGGGCAACGGCCGGTTCCTTGCAGCAAATCGAGCGCAGGCGGGCGAGGTTGGCTCCCGGCGGCGGGGTTTCAGGCGGGACCCACCATTGAGATCTGCTGCGATCGCAGTTCCCGACCCCGCATTTTTGCTACTTTCCCTACCAGTTCCTGAACTCTAGGCCCGACTATGGAGTTATCCCATTCTAACGATTGGAGCAAGCGACCGTTTCCAGAAATTCCACTGACCTTACCCGCTAGCATAACTGAATCAATCACCCGAGTCAGTGGAGTAAGAATGCCTCGATCCCTGGACCCACACGTGGTGATGACGACAAGGTCAGACATTTTCCCTCCGCGCTCTCAGCCCTGTTGCCCTGCTCAGCCATTCGGCCCACCCTGCAATGCGACGCCAGGCTAGGAAGGCCGAATCCCAACCATCGACCAGCGGCCATAAGACGAAACCCGCGCTCCCTGTTGGAAAGAGGATATGGTTGGGCCCTGGCGGTTGTTGATTGGCACGATATTTCGAGTAAATCTACGCGAGCAATCCTTCGGCCCAGAAAGTATCCATCTTCGGCTCGTCGCAGCATCAAGCCGCCCAGTTCACAGACAACAAACACGGGTAACTAGTTGAGACGATCTGGACTCGAGGAATCGCCCAACGGTGAACAATTAACAGTTCGGCCGGGCGTCTCGCAGAACCATAAACTTTAGGTACGCCAGATGAACGATGAGATGTTACAATGGAAATCTTCTAGATCCAATGCATTGTTTGGTCGACAGAGCCGTACCGTTATCCTCGAAATCTTGGAATTCCGAGGGCTGGCTAAATGTTTTGACACAGGTTGTGCCGGCGTCGCCCAGAGCGACAGCCTCTTTGGGTCGCGCCCACGGCATCAACCGCACCGACACCAACGACGGCCTAGAGAAGGGCTCGGAAGGATGGATGTTGTCCAAGTAAACTTCTTTTTAGGTGGGTTTGGCCGATGATGGCCTATCTTTGCTAGAAACCACACAACAGCTCATCAGGTATAGCCTTCCTCTGTCTTCAGGTCTTCCTAGTCAAAATCGAAATCACTTACACCACATCCTGAGATGACCCACCATAATATCAGTGTACTTACTTTACAGAAGCCAACCTCCATCAAACTCACATCCTAAGACTTTATTCCCCCCGATCCATCTTTTTTCCTTTCATCTCCCTCGGTCATCGTCGTCACATCCGATTCCTATGATCGACCAGGTGCCGAACCCCGCAACAAGGGTCTCAATGCCGTGCAGTCTGTGCGTCAACTCTCATCGTTCACGAGGTGGCCAAGGACGGCTGGTTCCGCGCTTGTTTGAGCTGCTTAACAGCCTTATAGGCAGAACTATCGTCTCGAGAGAAGCCGCCTTTGCACAGCAGTCACCGGCCAACCACGGCTCCCTCCGCCCCTCCCAAGGCCAGCCCCCGTCCTTGTGAGTAAAGGTCACGAAGTTGTCAATGAAGAGTGGTCTGCTTCTTGCCGTCTTCCCGTACCGTTGGAGACCAATTCTTTGGTGAGTTTCAAGACCGGATCTCTTGCAGGGTCTCATGTCTTATCAACAAGGTAGTATCCCTTAGTCGAGTAGAGCATCATCTGTGCGCATACCACTCTGTCCCCGGCACTTCGACGGGGCCTAGGCTCTCGCCACTGTTCCCCAGATTTTCCTGTATGCTGTGGATCAGAGGGTGGTATCGTCCATTCCTCCTCTTTGCATGAGGACCAGTCCTTGATTCCTCAAGATCGGTATGGCCGAGTGGAGTCTTCTGGTCTGTTTGATCACCTACCATGGTAGGCCGATTCCTCCGTCGTCCGATGCTGTGAACTCCTTGTTGATGATCTGGAATCTCTCTAGAACACTGGATGACATGTTCTTTGTGTCGTTCGTTCCATCTGGTGGTATCCATGCCTCGACTCCCTGCGCTCGGGCGAGTTGTCTTGTGGTGGCGTCTGTTCTTGTTTTGATTTACCCGACCCGTTGGTGTGTTCGTCCAGAAGCGTAACTCACAGCAAGTTTTACTTAAGGAAACGCTTGCACATTGAGGTAACAAACGGCGACGAGGTGCCACATTCTAAAAGATTTGAGGTTCTGAGGAGAGCTGGGAGATGAGGCGTGGGCAGCCTTTTGAAGAACATCAATATTCAGAATACCCTTCATAACAACCGACGGCGTCTATCTTCCTGTGTCGAGCGCGGTTTAACCAGCCACACCCGCCTTCTTGCCAGCGAACTCGAAACCAACGGCTAGAATTGGCAGTTCTCTCAGTACAATGCCGGTTGTTATCCGGCCGTCACCCGATTCACCTCCCGCCCCTCCGAGGTCTCCTCCCGAAGCTATCTTGACACACCAGACAGATTACCCGGCCGGCCCTCTCTGCATGCGAGCCGCTCCAAGAGGCGAGACGAGAGGACTCACAGATCGACATGCAACGCTCATCATGACGGCCCGACCTAGACTGGGCCAACGCCAGGGCGAGCTCCGAGTGAGCGTGTCTGACGGTGTTGCCCGGAACCATCTCATGATGTCGCCGCTCGCTACCGGCAGTATCCCGGCTTCGTCTCAGATCTCAAGTCGGCTACCTGCTATATCTTGAGGGATATGCCCACGGGTTCTTAGTATCTACTTTCAAGATTCCTTTTATCGATTGTACTCTCGTTGCACTCTTCAGACGTCTATCTTTGCTCCTAATGGAGATTTCCTCTACATCACATACCCAGTCCTTTGTAATGACATAGCACAACCACTGCGTCACATCATGGACGCCTCACTGTTGGCCCTGCCAACATCCCCAGCCTCGGGCCTCCAAACCTTTGCACTCTTTATCAACTTCTTCTTCCCTGCCCTGGCACTCGTTGTTGTCTCTGCCCGCGTAGCCGGCCGGGTGGTGGCAAGCCGGTTGGCTGTGGAAGACTGGCTTGTTTGCATAGCCATGCTTCTGTCTGTAGCTGAGACAATTATCAGCTTCTTCTGTACGTCTGACCACCATTAAGACGGTTGGGTATAGGAACTTACACTGGTGATAGTCATCAAGACCAACTTCATCGGCATATCCCCAGAGAAGGTGCCGGCCCATGATCCAACCCAGGGTTTGATATGGGCCTACGCTGTCCAGATCTTGTACAATCCGATCCTTGCCTTGGTCAAGTCGTCCGTATTGATCTTTCTTACCCGCTTATTCGGCCAGAAAGATTGGGTGCGGCGGTCCCTTCTTTGGCTTAACGTTGTCAACATTTCCCAGATGGTTGGCGTCTTCTTTGCTATTATTTTGCAATGCACTCCCGTTTCCTTCTTCTGGGACCCGACTATCCGAGGTGGTTACTGCGTCGACCGCCGAGTGTTATACGTCTCGACTGCGGCCTTCAACATTGTGACAGACATTTTGATCATCGGGCTGCCGCTATTCATTTTTTCTTCTCTGCGGATCCCAAGACGGACCAAAACCGCGCTCCTGATCGTCTTTCTCCTAGGTTTTCTGTAGGTCCACCTTCAAGACTTCCTTTACCTTACCTTCCAGCCATCACCGCTCACCATATGTGCCACAGCGTGACAATCACGTCCATCATCCGCCTAGTTCTCCTCATCCAGGGCCTATTCAGCGTCTCCATCTTCCCCAGCGCAGCCTCCCAGAACGTCGGCTTCGTAACGTCGGCGGTGGAAACCAACCTCGCCATCATCACCGCCTCGGCCCCAGCCCTCCGCCCCATCTTTCGCTCGCGCGACCGCGGCGGTTGGTTCGCACGCAGCGTCATGGCCACCACCCGCGGCGGAGCGCCTGACAACTACAACCACACCCGCAACAAACCCGCCAACACAGTCACCAATTCCTACCCCGACCTCGAAATGGGCCAAAAGCCCATCGGCTGGGACCGTGGAACTTCCCCCATCGCCACCACCACCACCGCCTCCTACAAATTCGGCCGGGGCGGATCCAGAGGCGGGCGCAAGGGCAGCACAACGCGGAAATCCAAGACCAAACCCAAGCCGCGCCCGACCATCACGCTCATCCGCACCGACCTCGCCCGCGACCGCGACGGGCTCGCCTCCCTCCGCAGCAGCTCCCCGCGCTCCAGCGAGGAACAGACCATGACCAGCAACGGCATCGTGCGCGTCAGCGACATCCAGCGCGAGATTGACGGCATCGTCAAGGACATCGCCGTCGCCGGCGCAGGCAGCTACACGGGCGGGACGGGCAAGCGCGGGACAGCCAATACCAAGACCAAAGACACCACACCAGCACCAACACCAACCCCAGCGCCGGCGCCGGCGACGATGGGATTACCGATCCTCCCGCTCCCAACCCTCCCCGCGCTCCCCCTA